GTCATTTAATCACGTGATAATCCTAGTAAAGCTACTCATTTGGCATGGTTATCATACACCAAAATAACCTAGAGGAATCAATGTTGTTAAAAATAAGTGCTAGAATTAGTCCCTCGTTTTGGTACCAAATGGCTCTTTCCAGGGTCCTGGCCCATGGACTATTAGCTAGACTAGGTGGTATAATTCAGCATCAGGTGTCCCCCTCCCGTAGGAATAATGTTCTGTCGCGCTTGGCAACCATAACAAACTTCAAAATGGCGCCGTAGCCCAACGTGTGAACACAGTTTCTAGAAGTTACGGAGCAGTCAATATGTCGAAATCTCGAAGAGGGAAAAGTGCATCAGCTAATGAACTAAGCAGATGGGAAACGGAGCTAATTCAAGCGCCTTTTAACGAGGTTAGTGCTATTTTAACAGCGAGTATTAACGCAGTAAAAACGTACTTGGAATAACTACTAACTAAATAAAAAAAATAAAACTACCAGCTTAACTTTGAAATTTGAGAAACCTTTTGAACGTGTAAGGCAATATTTCTGTTCACTTTTTACTGTGCAACTTTTGTAGCCTTGCAATATCTCGACTTATAACATCTAGAACAGTTCTTACACGTATCACTTTCTTTATCATCAGGAAACATGGAGATCCTGTGTTTACTTCATTGCGCCTAATAGGCTAGACGATAATGTCTTTATCGACATATTGTCAGAAGTGGTTGCTACTGGTCTCAGGAAACTGTTCAGCATCATTACATACGAAGGCCTTGTTAAAGATGTGAGTTCTCGTACTTGATAACGTGAAAATCACGTCATGTCCACTATTGAATCAAGTCGCGAATGGGGGCAGGACAGCAATTTTATGTTTTCAATAATATTAATATAAATCAGCTTAACTATTTTAATTTATGTTTTCCGAGACAGTTCTGGTCCCAACAGTGTGAAATAAATGGCCAAATAACAATTGACCAAGAAATTGCTAACGGGAATTCATAGGGGTAAGGTGTTTAAGTTGTTACATTTTTGTTTTACCTGTAGGTCAAAGAATTTGGAAAGGGCCCAGCCCCTGGAGGTAAGGGCAAAGGGGCTGCATCAGCTAAGCCTCCCCACTTCTATGAAGTCTGTGAGCAAGTCAAGCCATTAGTGGACCAGACTGAACCAATACCCCCTTCTCTGATGGCTAAACTTATCAAGTTTAAGTTGCTCCATATTAAACAGAAGGATTTGGACAGAAGAGAGGAAGAAAGAAAGGTACTTGTAATTACATTTAAAGATGACTCTAATTCTGGTGCAATGTGCAGCAGTGTACAGAAACTTCAAATTCAAGACCAAAACCACAATATTTTAGTAAAGTAATGGTACTCTTATTGTATGGCTGAACTCCTCTGTGATGAAAAGGTCAAATTTCTGTAATATAAGCGGATGAAAAAGAGCTGTTGGGCTCTCACTGTATTGGTCTCATTCTTTTTTTGCAGGTTAATCGATCTCCATAAACCTGCAAAAAAAAATACCTCAACCAATATTTCTCCAATTCAACCTCATGCTAGTTCAGTGACATATTTGTATTTATATACTTGTATCAATATATTCTCCCTCCCTTGACTGTGTATCTATAGATATGCATAGATGCAGTTTCTTTATAGTCACATTTTATCCTGTCAATAAAAAGCCATTAGAATAGTTATTGTCACATAGGAGCATTTTTTAGTTGAGTATGATTAAAAACCAAACCCATAGTATGTTATCACTCTAGCCAATCACAAAGGACACAGATAATCCAATGAACCAATCAAACCTTCAGGTAAATACATGTAGCTGATGCAAAGTGTGGGAAAATGTGCATAAGAAGAGCCATGCCAACCATCACCTTGCACCATATCATTGATGGTACTTAGAAAAACACTAATTTCTTAAATAAATGCATCTAATATGCAGTTAAACCAAACGAAATAGCATTTAAATTTGGCATTCAACAGTTTCCATTATTTCATTGTAAAACATGCCATTCTTCAATTGAATCTCTAGGCTGCTAAGGCAGCTGAAGCAGGGAAGAAAGATGAAAAAGGAAAGAAATCAGGAAGAAGTCCATCTGCTGGAAAACGGTCAAAGTCACCAGGAAAAAAGAAGGGTAAAAAGGAGGCAGACTTGCCACCATCTCCAAAGAAGGACACCAAACTGAAGAGAAGAGGAGATGTTGAGGATACCTTTAAGACTATTGGTAAGCTGAAGCAGACTAATCATAGATTTGGAATGGTTTTTTTTTCCCGTGGACTAGGTATTTACATTTTAGTTATTCTCAGCCATTATATACATAGACCTTAGACCTTATCATGATGGTTAGGCAACACATGTCTGAATTGCAGTGCTTGTATAGGAATGTGATGGCAGATGATTTTCTTACAAGTTGAATTCTGAACAACTTATGAATGGCAAAGTTAAGATCCTAGACAAAATCAAATTTGACCAAAATTGGAGAGACTTGGCTATGTTAGAAAGTATAGAGTTGCGTTTTAAAGTGGTGCAAACTTGTAAGCCATGTACAAGTTCACAGAAAATTAAAAACATGACCTTTAAATAATGTTTTGCTTTGGAAGATCTAGAACTTAAAATGAGTTTCATTGTGTACTTAATTCACATTGTGTGATTTTGTACAAAGTATGCCATATTTCAGGAATTATTTGATCAGATGCGATTTAAGGTTGATTATATAAAATCACACCATTACATAATATTACAAGCCCTGGTAAATTGACATTTATTCAATTTCCAGTTATGTACATTGCAATATTATTCTTGGTTACTAGTGCTAATTTAAAACACAAGTCTTCAGAGTGATTTTACAGACTGTACAATACTTGTCTCAGATGATGAACCAGATGTAGAGGGAAGCCCCCAACATTATGTTCTGATCCATGGCATCCTCACAGCACCAGTCATCTACCACCTAAATGAGATAGGTGTAAATGTGGATTCTATCATCTGTGTAAAGGCTCAGAATTATGATAGCTTCACACCAACTCCAGTTCAGGAGGATGAAAACAAAGATGGAGATAGTGAAAGTGCTAAAGTAAGTTTCCTCTTACTGGAAAAGTGCTAAAGGAGATATAATGTGAGCTTGTGTGGCCAAACTCAAATGTCCCTGTACAGAGCTGGAAGTTCAAACCCTTAATTGCGAATGAGTGTCAGACTGGTACTTGATTTCCTAGGCCTTGCAAATTCTTCTCTTTTTTTGTTGTTTTCTTCTCCAGCAATGACAAATACCTTGTCACTTCCAACCTGTGGCCTGTGTTCTTTAAATGTTCTCCAACTGTGGAAAGGCTCAATCCAGTTGTGTTGCAATGTTCCTTTAGCTGAACATTAAATAGTTAGACTGTTTCCCCAAAATAAAATTTTCCACAGTCTGCGCACTCTAATTTGTGACTTTGGCAATGCAAACTCACATGACAAATAAATTTCGGGTGTCTGGAAAACCCGAATAGTGAATAGTGAATAGTTCCGAATAGCGAACAGCGAATAGTCCCGAATAGCGAATAGCAAATAGTGCAAATAGTGGCCAACAGTCTCGAATAGTGGCGAATAGTGGCAAATAGTGGCAAATAATAACGAATAGGGTACCCAGTATCTCGCAGTTAACCTCGTAGCAACTTAGGATGGGATTTTTCCACTAAAAAGCACAGATGCTTATCAGGACAAAAGGTGTTTCTAAACGTAATTTCTTCTGTTTTAACGGCTGCAAAAGCGTAAATAAGTCTTTATTAGGTTATCCTTGTGTTTTCTGTTTTCTTAGTGTCAGCGATGGACAGCCTACTAGCCTGAGTTCAGAGAAGAAAAATTAATGGTAATAAATCCACTGAAATTCTGTTGCTTATTTGGATAATTAATTAACGCCGGATATAAGATCCAAGGCGTTGACTATTGACGACTATTCGTCACTATTCACCATTTTTTGTGACTGTTCACCACTATTCGCACTATTCGAGACTATTCGCACTATTTGGGACCATTCGCTCTTCGTTATTTGTGACTATTCATTATTCGCTATTCGGGTTTTCCAGACACAAAGGTGCCATGATGGTGTCAAAAGCTAAGTGACAGCTCAAAAAACATGTACTCTGTTTCTGTACATTCTTTGTAGCACATTTGCCACATAGTCGGGCAACAGTATCTCTCCTTGATGAGTTTGAAATGCCCCCACCTCCATTAGTTCTGGAAGTAGTAGCTGGGGGCAAGCAATTATAACTATTTATAAATTAATTATGCAAATGGCATTGGACAACATGTGTCCAGGATAATCTCTTTAGGGTGCTTAAACAAAAGAGAGCTGGAAATATTATTTTTAAAGCTGACACAAGGGCCCCTTCTATTCCACTGTTTAACCAACTCAAGTGGCTCCCATTTTATGAAGATGCCAGAGTAAACAGATTGACAGTTGCTTATAAGAGGGTTTTCAGAAGCTTGCTCTCATATGTGAATGAACTCCTGAGATTAAATCATGGTTTACATGGTTGAAAAAAAAGTATTCTAACTACAATTTACTTTGTCTGGTATTTAAAAGAAAAACTGAGGGAGGAAGAACTTTTGTGGTCCAAACTTGTCAGACATGGAATGCCCTTCCACTTACACTGAGACAGAAGCCATCTGTAAATAGCTTTCCAGCCAGCCTATGGAAATATATTTTTAGCAAACGACAGTGTATCTCTGCTTTCTTAATTTAAAATGGCTTTTTTCACTTAAGACTTAACAATAAGTTTTTACAATTCTTATTTCAACAGCCTTTTCTTAATTTTTATTGGTAAATTTTTACATGTAATAATTTGTAGATCGTAAATATTTAGTGGGTCTTATTATTGCCATTTTGGAGGGCCAGGTGTTGTTAGCTTTTATTTGCTATTGAGTGTCACCCCCATTAAATTAAGTCTCTACTACTGCATACTACTAATAGTAATTTGTGGAAACAAGCACAAATCCAAGAGATGTGAGCTTGAATTCAAGTTTCAGTGAATGTAATGCCTCGGTTATACTACTAATATTGTAGCCTTTTGAGGAATTAAATAATAATTAGAAATATTGAGGATCCATCACCAGGATTGCTCATAATGAAATTGAATAAAGTGTTCTCTGGTAAAAGTTATTTGAAATATGAGCTCTCAACCGCCAGTCTACTGTCTTCCTCGAATATAAATTTTTATCCATAAAAGACTGTAAGGCTGGCTGTCAAAAGCTCATATTTTTAATTGTGTTTTACCAGAGAATGCCTTATTCAATATTATTAGATAATTTATAACTGTTTTACTTCAATGTAAGCATTCTTGTGTTAATAGTGTTTACTGTCCATCTCTGCAGTACACTCCATGCTCCTTAACTAAAAACCTTACCTTAATTGAGAGCTGATCCGTAACATTTTAGGAAGATGATTCAGAGATGATGGACAGAGAATTACAAGAGTCTGAAGAGAGGGCTCAAAAATTAGAAGCAGAAGCTCTACTTGAAACATTTTGGTCTGAATCAGAGAACATTGTAATGAAAGCCCCGTCTGGTCACAAGCTTAAGGATGTAGCAAGATATGAAGTGAAAGTGAAGGAAAGCATTGTTCCAGAGGGTGATCTGCACGAATTAGATGCTGAGAAAAAGGTAGCTTTCAAGCTAAGTACAAGTTTCTGATGTTGAAGTATTAAATAACAAAATATAGATGATCTCCGTTGGGATTATACTCCAACCAAGTAACTAAGATCCTCTCTGCTTGTATTTTTATATAAAAAAAAATTGTTTTATGAGAACATCCTAAAGTTTAGTGTTAGAGACACTAAGGATTTACTGTAGAAGGGAGTAAAATTCAGTGTTGTAGTTACAAAATATTTTAGGTTACCCTTGTCACATGTGTTAATATTATGCATGTATGAGAACGTTTTCATTTTAAATATCATGCAGTCCTATCCCAACACATTTCCTTGCCTTCTTTGTGTGGAGGTCAAAGGCAAGTTCCTGTCAGGCATTGAACAAACATTAAACATAAAATAATATAATTATTTTTATTTTGTTTATTTGTTTAAATGGATATTTATTCAGAGACATCCACTGTGGCTGATCCAATGAGTGACAAAAGGGTTGAGACACTTTGCAGTAAAATTTGATTTTCGAGCATCTTGGAAACATTTTCTCCCCTTCCCCCCAAACAATGTTTGTTTTCTACTTCTAATACTGCTCAGACCGCAGCACCTACACAATGTTGAATTGGAGGGGCGGGGTATCAGAGAGTTAATGCTAGATGCCAATATAATAGAATTTCAGAAGTTAAATATCGAAAAGTGTCATTTCCTAAAAGTGTCTCCTGATCAACTACTTTTGTCGTTCATTGTAAACTGTGATGATTTCCATTATATTTCCAAGCTCCAGCAAGTTTATTTTTGCAAAATCCACTAAATGTGTGGTTCAGAGTGATTTGTGACTATAAAACAAGTGACCAGTTTTTGTTTCTCAAGCAAATTCCAATACAAAGATGAAACCTGGTCTATCCCATTAATCAATTCACTCTATTTTGCCCTCAAGGTGGTGTTTATTGCCACTTTTTCACTTTTAAAGTGTTCAAAAAGTGTCTATCTCTCTTTCAATCAATGCAATTCTCACCATGACACAATGGCTACAAGTTTAAATTCTTTGTTCAGTTTTTACATTTTGATGAAAAACCAGAACTTGTTCCATTCTACTGCAAAATTTTCATTATGTCTTACCTCAGAGCAATGGTTTACCATTACAGATGACCTCATAATGACGTCACAGTAACGTGTGCATATCATTTTGATTCATAATGGCGTTTTACTGAACACATGAAATTTGATATCAACCGATGGTTTAAGTGCTTTTCAACTTTCCAACAGTTTCTCATTGGTAAATTCAATTTATTCTATTTTTAACAGTTTACCATTGGTAAAACATTGAGAACTCATGACATGAAGTTCAAAAGCACGATAAAACAAGTGGTCTTATGTAATTTTGTCTGTTGAACAGATTGGTGTTATCAGAATGGTTCAAACAGTCTGCATTGCACTGCAACACTACATGGACCACAGTGCCTACACAACATTGAATTGGGGGGCCAAGTGTATCAGAGAATTAGCACTAGATGCAAATAAAATAGAATAAGAGGTTAATCGAAAAGCGTCATTTTCTAAAAGTTGTCTCTACTTCTTTTGTTAGTCACTGTAGTTTAAATGGAGCCCTGAAATAATATAAATCTGACAAAAAAAACAGATAACCTAAAAGTACTAAATATGATATTTGACTGGTTCATTAATGAGTTTACTCAGGGTCATTGTTTCCCCAGGGTTTGATTGCCTTTGAGACACTCATGGCGATTTTTTAATGTTGTGAAGAAAATATTTTTTGCTAACACATTTATGGTGATATAATTAATATATCTTTATTATTTGAATATTTTAATTTTTTGTGATTTTTTTCTTACTTCATAAATACAAGTATAGTTACAGGTCATTTGAACCAAAAATACAAAGTTCATTTTCACTGACAATATGCATGAAAATATTAACAGTTGAGAAAAGCTACTTACATACACTATTTACAAAAGAAGAAACGTGACGATACAATGCAGGAGTTTTTTTGTTGTTAAGGGAGCTGTTTATTACATTACGTAAATTATAAAATATGCCTGTTTAAGATCAATTTTTGAACAACAGGGAACAATTGTTAACCCTCTCACGTTGCCACAAGGCGTTCCACAAGGATCAATCCTGGGTCCCGTGCTCTTTTCACTTTACAATAACGATCTACCTCTCTGCCTACGAACTTCTGACGTCGAAATCTATGCTGATGATACAACGTTATGGATTTCCGATCACTCCATTGATCATATCCAAAACAATTTGCAAGACAGCCTAAACAACGCTAGCAGTTGGTTGAAGTTAAACAAAATGCTACCTAACACAAAGAAGACGAAACACCTGCTCATAGCTACACGACGGAAGTTGGAACATGCTAACAACCCAACCTTAGATCTTCACTTGAATGGCAACCGCATAGAAGAAGCCAAGGATGAAAAACTCTTAGGCGTCAAGATCGACAAGCACA